AGTAACAATTTACAGCATGCTGTCACTTCAATGTATCTATATTTGTTCTATGAATGTGAGCACATACTTATTTTGCTTTTTTTATGTTGGTCGGCTTTTTTAAGTAAATACTTATAACTATTTGTAGAAGGTTGGATTGTAATAGTATAAATAGCTTTATTGTGAAAAAGCCTTGCTTTCCATATATTCATGTTTGTTACTTACGAAGTTATTAAAACCTGTAGTCCTTTTACTATTTTTTAAAAACATTTTCACCAAGTGAATATTTGCTCATCTCTAATGCGAATGACAAGTTGGTTAAGTCACCATTTTTTATTTCTTAGTTTGTTAAATTATTTCTGGTATTGCTCATCTCTTTCCATACAGTACTGTCATCAAAAACTTTTTCAGAGTATTTACATGAGAAAATCACAAAATGTTTTTTGCCTTCTTATAGCAAATAAAAAATGAAGCAAAATAAAACGTTAGAAAAAAATAGACAAAAGAAAATTATGATAGTATACTCATAATAATTTCTTTCATAGATTAAGACTGAATGTACAAGTTAACTATTATATTATTATTCTCTTGGATTCCGAGTGGGACATAAGGCCTCAACAACACATCTCCGCTTCCTTCTATTTTCTGCCATCCTCTTCAGATGGGTCCACGATTGACCATAATCTCTCATCTCCTCCTCGCACGATCTCCTCCATGTCACCTACGCACTGACGACCCAATCGTCGCCACATATTTGGACTACACTCGAGCGACGGCTTGCACTGCGCGCGATGTCACTCGACGGCCTCCTCAATGTGTGTGTGATCCATCTCCATTTTCTCCTACCTATTTGTTCAGCGATCGGCTCTTGGTTGGTTTGTTCCCTAAGTTTCTTGTTACTGATTCTTTCTGGCCACTCGATCTTAAGTATGGATAGAAGGAAGGTGTTAATAAAGGTCTGCAACTGGCTTTTGGAAATCCTTTTCGCGACACGTTGTGCAAGTGTCCCACCCATATAGAAGAACCGACTTCACATTGGTGTTGAAAATTCGAATCTTGTTCTTTATGCTGGCTGAATGAAGTAGAAGATTTTCAAACTGGTTTCAGGTTGATGATTGTGTATCTTGCTTTTCTGATCCTGACTAAATTTGACATCTTCATGCATTCCGACTGCCTGTGGTTGAAACAATGCTTGATGCCTAGATAAGCGAAGGAAGTAACCTCTGTGAGATCTATTCCTTTGGTGGTGATTGGTGCTGGTTGTCGTTGCAGTGGTTGGCTGGTTATCTTCATCACCTTCGTCTTCTATATGTTCACCTGGAGTCCTGTCCTGTATAAGAAATTATGCAGTGTACATTATTCAAAAGCATATATGATAGCATCATTCATGGGTTAATTTTAAAATGTTCTTGGATCAGTATTGATAAAAATCTGTCCAGAATCACTACCAAAATGATCCTGTCTGATATAACGTTAAACATCTAAATACTTTCATTCAAGTCTCAATTACAATAAAAAAAATACACAGATGGGCATATATATGCATATAAAATGCGAATGAAGAGTATTATATGACATATTGCAGTTTGAAATTAATAAAAACTTTACAAACTGGTTTCCTAAAAGAACTTACTTAATAGAACTCCAAGTTGTTGGTGTTTTTTCAAAGTTAATTCACCTACGATCAAAGTTAATTATTTATAGTAGATATAGGATGCATTTTCTCCAAATACACGCATGCAGACTACATACATCCCTTGATGGATGGATGGAAATCCCGTGTGTACAAACAGTTAAGTATATTGGAGAAATGTCAAACGAAACTCTTGTATTCTGGTTAAACTTTCGTCAGAAATCTATCCGTTAGGTCTGATGTGATTCTCTGAATAATCAAAGTGGTCAACATACTTAAAAATTGTACTACCTATTTTAAACTAGGAGTCTGTGTAGACAAATAATAAAATATGATTTTGATTGTGAAAAGAATGAATCATCTGTGTTTGTTCAATTTATTCAAAAAGATTGAATTTTGCCAGCATCCATACCTAAGTGGACAGTATCTTCTGCATATATTCCACAACTGATCAGTGAGAGAAGATATGATGAATACATCCACTCAGCCATCTTGCCTACTAGGTTTCTGTCGAGTATATTTTCACTGAGCTACACTTTGTCTGCCTGCGAATATTGTTACATTGATCTTCGACACTTCATAAGGTGATCTTATACGCCTTTGGTTACCATATGCACATTTATCTAGGCTTTGATGTAATGTATTGGCCAAGAATTCACACTAATCTACTAAGTTTGTTTCAGACATTTATATATGAAACAGAGCCTTAACCTTTCTGATAATTCATCACTCCCTGTTTTAAATTAGAGACAGCTTTTGAGATGTCAGCTAGATTCGAAAATGAGATACTGATATATCCTTCAGGCTATGGTTACAATCTGGACACCTACAGTTCATCTATAGACCAGTTTAAATGCATCTCAACGTGTTCTGTTCATTGTTCTAGCCATCTCCTGAGACTTAATTGTGATTTTGACCTTTCCGGAAATCACTTCAATCACCATAGACGTTTTAGAATCTGCTGACTAAACAAACTAAAAGGGTTGGTGATGCTTTATCTTTCTTACTTCTTTCTCATTCCTCATCCACGAATGTTATTTCAGAAGAAATGAGTGCCGTTCGTTGTATTTTGGATATTATTTCTGTCTCCTCATTGATTGAAATTATACTATTCCTTTCAATAAAGAATAGTGTTTACTCTCAATTATGTGAACAGTTTGAAGTAATAGAAAACATTTCAAGCGTGAAAGTTTTAACAATATGTGTTTTGATAAATAAATAATTTAATAAAAATTGTTTCTTTTGTTACTGCTTTCAAATTAAGCGTCTAGATTTTGTCTTTACTTTGATCATTCCGCTAGCTGATAACATTTCACACTCAGTCACTCAATATCACTGTGTATTTTTCATTTATTTGTATAATTTGTCTCAGTCTTATTGTCTTAAAAGACAGGTGATAATATGTATCTATATAACTAAAGCTAACAGTAATTGTATAAATAATTAAATACAGTTTAATTTTTGTTAAGCGCTGTAAAAAATCTTAGAAATTTCATTTTAATGCGGTGTAACACTTCTATATGACAATCAACTTTCTGTTCCAGTTATGTATTCACATACTTAGAAAAGTAATTACAGCATAGTAATGATTATCCTATCTGTATTTTCCAATTCACAAGTTTTATTTTAAATTCCAGTTCCCTTTATCTATCTTAATAATGAATACTATCATTATAAGATAGAAAACAGTGGGTTCAGGTCAATTAGTGAACGACCTTAAGGTACGTATATTTCCTTGCACTCCGTAATCCATTGAAATCGTTAGCTCACTGGATCCAGTAACAAGAGTTACAGGCTAAGTTCAAACTTCTGAATAGATTGCATATAATTGAAAATTTTGAATGCGTCCTGAAGGTAAATTTATAATAGTCTATATTGAAATCAAACTTTGTTTAGTTTCCTTGTTTGTTTCCTAACCGGTCCCGAACCCGGAAGAAGAGGGAAATTTTGGCGTGAGGCTACCGACGATGGGTCGGCAAATCAATCTAGCAGCTGCAGAAACTTAAGTGCACAGAGATTTAAATATAAATAGACCTTTTCGTCTCTGCAGTCGGAGTTGCGGAATGATACGGGTCGGTAAAAATTTTTGGGAAATCAGTCAGCTTATGTCTTCTTTTGATGAAAGCAAAAATAAGTATTGGGGCACAGAATGTCTGCACGACGTTTGAAGTTGTCTGGGAATACTGCTCTGATTACAAAAGAAATGAGAGGGCACGGAACAGAAGTATTACGAAATTTTGAGACAGAAAGCAGAGGGAATGGAAGTGAACTCTCCAAATTAATCATTGTAGAGCCGATAATCAAATGTACTCTGCTCACTCAGACGGTATTCATGACAGAATTCAGGGAGTGGCTGTCATGATATCACTAGTAGAATCAAAGGCCCTAATGCGACTAAAAAAATAAACATAACAAGCACCAGTCACCATTATCGGGAGTAGGCTCAAGGTGGTCACTTCTCTTAATTGTCTAGGTAGAGTTGTCTCAACCAAAGATAGCACGTTCGAGTATGTCTAAGACAGGACTGGAAGAGCAAGACTGTTATTCGTCACTCTGAAGTGAGTGTGAGAATCTAATGCACTCACCATCAAGAAAAAGATTGGGATTCTCAACACTAAGTCAAGTCACTTCTTCTATATGATTCACAGACTTCGACTGTGAGTCACCAAAAGCACTTCAAACAGTCTACTGTGAACCGTAAGTGAAAGTTGCTTTCTCTCGACACTGAAGATCAGATGGTCGGAAAGGATAGGCAATAAGGAACTCTGACAGTCAATGAACCGAGCAATAACCCATTGACCAACAAATATGCTGAAGGAAATAGAGATGGATTAGATACGTGATGAGTAGACAGCTGAGTGGCACCGCAGGGCAGGCATTCCAAGGGGACGGGATGGGAGAGTTGCATATGTTCAGAGGATAAAATGGAAAATATAGTTTGAAGAGGGAATTAAAGTCTAGGTCAGTCGTGGAACCAGCCGAAATGAAGGCATGAAACAGAGAGGAATAGGAATCTGATGTTAAAGGTCTATGTTCCACTCGGAACTCAAGAGACAAACAATAAAATAAAATAATAGTATCATAATCGAACAATTGTGAAATGACTAATCAACTTAAGGTATGAAACCACTTTAATGAGAATTAGCTGGTAAAATTTCTAATGTGTTTAACTCTTTTGTACTTCATGACACATTAACCTAAATTGTAGTTTTCATATTCTAAGTATCTCAGTAGCCTATTTAAAGATGCACAACTTTCTAAACTATTTTTTTCACTCGTATGGCAGCATCATTGACAAATACCTATAATTTAAAATTAATATAACATACTATCATTGTACACACATTCATATCTATCAATTTACATTTCCTGAAATTTAATTTTGAAGGTACTGAAACAAACTCACCAGTTACTCATAATCTCAACTTGTCAAGTGGGGCATATTTCTGGTTGTATAACTCTCAGTGTAAAGGACCAAAAGCTTCTCCATTAATAAATCTGACTAACAGAGCAATAGCAAGTAATCACTGTGAGAATAGTTTGGAAAATTCGGCAAAAGGTTGTGTTTCAAACGACTACCAAGATGACATTGTTTCTTCGAGTACATCTTCTGGTGTTGTTCAACAGTTATTACATTATCCGATATCATCGCTATCCTTACCAAACTATCCACTGGTTGTTTTTGAAGACCCTGTGCAAAGAAGATATGACTTAGTTCACTGTTCAAAACTGCGTCGAGGTGACGGAAATGATGTGACTCCAAATTTAATGCGACTCCGTTCTATGGGCGAAGAACTTGTCCATCTGAATAGACATATATCAGCTCAAGGTGAATTAATTTCTGCTGGAGCAATGAAAATTATTGATCATTCAGATATAAACATCGATTTGAAACTAATTCAGGATATTTCTGGCTGTATTTCAAACACAAAAGTTATTGAACAGGCCAAACGCGAGAAAAACAAATTAGCTAGCAAGTAAGTTCTTTGCCTTTTTGAACCAAGCGTTGTACAAACTGTAATGATATTCTCGGAAAAGCATATAGAGTTTTTATATTGTGAGCAGCATGCATTGTATCATATCATATTAGTAAAGATTCTGAATTGTTTTTCACTTATCACTGAAATACCGTTTCGACCGGACGGAGTAACCGTTTACATTAAGGATGTAGGGGGGGGGAGAGGCGAATTTTGATAGTTCGGAAAACTTGAAGAAGTATGACGTATATTTACCAAAATTGCAGCTGTCATAACCATGTTGAATTGACCACACCTTGTTTTAAAACAGATATAAGGTTTAAAACACTTGTTATCAGCTTATTAATGTGGATTCCGCTAAAGACCAACATCAGTTAGATAATCATTGAAAACCGTAGAATACTGGACAGATGAAGAGTCCCAAGCTGGGACAAAACAGCTGCTCAGTGCTCACTGGTTTCCATTGATTCTGTAAGTGATTTTGGTTCGTAAACGAATCTACACTGAAGCTAATATAAATCCCCAAACAAACCATAATCTAAATGTCAGTACATAAATTAAAGAGAAGAAAAACTAGAGCTCATAACCTTTCAATTAGCTCTAATGGAATGGAGCGTCGAAGAGAATGCACCTTTTAGCTGTCGAGTATGGTTTTAGACTATCTAGTTGGCAAGCAACAAGAAGCACAATGTGAAGCAGGGGTTATTTCGATCAGTAACCTGCAGAGACTCACATGATGCCAAGCAGGATACCTTGAAAAAAGTTTGACTGATACGTAGTGTTCTTTCAAATTTCTAAGTTACGTTTGGTGGACACTGACCTATTGGACAACACAGAGGTTTAAAAGGAACTAAAAAGTCACTCATTGTCAACTTACAGCTCCTTTTAGAAATGGCAAGGCTAAATTCAGCAAAGTGGTTGTATGATTTGGGAAGGTATAATCTGTTGAAAATATCTTAACAGTGTGGGATGGTGACATCATTGTCCCAGCCCCCAAAGTTTCAAATGCCAAAGTGTTATCTACCAGACCTTCTGGGCCAAGAGACGACATCATGGTGTTTGAAACGATGGGTATTGAGTTTGGTTCCCAGTGGGAACACCAACACTCACTGAGGAGTGCAGGTACATCCGGATGACGAGTCCCAAATAGGACGAAACGCGCATAATGGATAGCACTGCTAGTCACCATTCAGCAAAATACTTCAAAACTCTGAATTTCTAATACAAATGCCCGAGGTCCAATGAGTGCCAGTTCTGCTGTCAGCCATAATTTTGATCAGATAAGGTTCGCGCTGACTCTATTTCCAGTTCAAAAGGTTATGAACAAACCTCTGGTGAGATGGCGTTATATATATGTGCCTTTGGCACAGATTACTCCACTTTTATTGTGAAGAAAGTATAGTTTTACTGTGATATAAAACACAGACTGAATTTGATCAGTTGTTGGTTATTGTGACTGTGTTATGTACTTTGCACCATACAGGTGTGAAGTACAGTTGTAAGACTGGTGGAAAGTTGTACCCCCTATTGTAGGTTAATCACTAGAAGGTGTATAAAGCTTTGTTAATCTACATAGCTGTATCATATAGTAAAATCCACAGTGGCACACATCAGTTTGAGCCTTTTTGAAACAGCTGTGATATCCATCACGTCATTACAAACTGGAGAAAGAAATTGTACCTCTATAAGCTGGGGATGTGAGTCAACCCTTGGTGTTAGATCTTCCTTAGGATTACCACCATTTGGTTGTGATAGTGCGTGGGTAATCGTGAGGTTTAACGAAATGTATTAACATATGGTGAGGGTCGTGTTTAAATAAACTACAACTTCAAAAACTTCATCCTCTAGTGGGTGACTAATGCGAACTCGACTGATTTTCAAGTATTGGCTTGCATGGATTTGATTTACCTATGCCTCAATATTCTAATAACTATACACTAATTTTTTTAGGCTTGCTAAATGCCGAGAAGACCTGTAGATTCTTATCTATTTGATTCCAAGGTATTCTGTGCTTACTCCTCTAACCGTAACAGAATGAATATAGATGATAATTAAAGAACTAATGGCAGTTTCTTTTATTTCTTTACCTTACAGTGAATTCGATAACTACTCTCTTTATAAGATTAAATAAATACTATACTAACCAGATAGTTTATTGCGTGTTTTATTTTCGGCTGATAAAGAGAATAAGTCAAAAGCTAATTAAACGATTGTGGAACATAAGACAATAGTGTCTAGCTCACGCTACCACAATTTTTAGTAATATAGAAAAGAAAAAGCAGGAATAAATGGAAAGCAGATAAGAAGACTAGTGAAGTATGATCAAATGATAATGAATATTAAACAAAATTCATTCACCAGTGTTTCTCTGAAACCATATCCCTATTTATTTTGTAAATTCCTGTGAATTGCATTAGCCATGTGTTTCTTTCAGGTACTCAGGTTATGTATCACTGAAGTCATAGGTGAATGACTTGGGCAATAGTAAAGAATAGACGCCACTGTCAGATAACCTTGATCCAGCCAATCAGATCGCTCGGCATTACAAATGGATGCATTTCATAATCTCTTTTGCAAGTTTCACCCTAACCTTAATTATAACCCAAATCTACTCCTGCATTAACCTTAACGCCGAATCAGGATGAAACTTGCAGTCAAGATTATGAAGAGCATCTATTTGTAATGCTGAGCTATTTGATTGGTTGACTTAAGGTCATTTGACTGTAATGTATATTCTTTACTGTTGCCATGAATTGTTTACTCAATCTCAGAGCTCCATTTAGGTTGATAGAAGTGTGTACCTACTCGATGGGCAGAATAGATTTACAAATTCAAACTTGTTTATAGAATTGCTATGAGACTGCATACATTAACTGCTGCAAAATTACTTATCGATAAACTATAGTGGGGTTTAAAATGCTTCAAAGATATTGGATATAAGTAGATATCTTCCAAAAAACTGGTCGCATAGACATTCATTCTACTGAGGACCTTGACTGCGCTACTGAAGAACTGTTTGGTAAAATAGATAAAATGAAATGCGAAACCCACTTAACAGTACCAATTTCTTTGCACAAACCAAAAATCTTTCAGTATTATCTCGTCATCGTCAAAAACAGTGCAGTATAACTGAAACTGTATTCTGTTTTCTTGATAAAGATACAACTTCTTTTATATTAACTGTTTCGGTAAATAAGCAGCTGTCGTTTTAGCGACACACTTGTTAAAATCCAAGAGTTTTCTCCATTGAAAATAGCAATAACTAAATGATTAATAGTGAACTATCACTGTCATTGAAAAAATGTATCAAGTTGATTATCGTGTTACGTTAGAAAAAGAACTTCGATTGGTTACTTAAGAGAACTATTTTAATAAACGTAGTAAAGTAATTTCGCTATTAGATGGCTGGAGGCGATCAGCAAGAAGTCTTGGACCTAGGTTTCGTTCTTGCTGACATTCACCAGTTAGCAAGGCGTATCTGCAACCTTGAGGGAACTCATGTCCGTTCTGAGATTGCCTTCAACGTTTCACAGTATACCGTGATGTCAAACCACCTAGCATGGTGGCCACATTAGAAACCTGACTGATAGAATTTAGTCTGCACCGAACAAACGAGTAGACTCATTGTACTAGTTACTAACTAGTGTCCAATCAAAGCAGTAGAGTAGACAAGCTGAGAAAGAAATAGTGCTTTTACTACAGGTCCAAATGAAAACCACTTTTCAATGAGTAGGAAAGAATATTTCTATGCATTTTTGACTCTTGCCCTTTTTGTAAATATACACCTAATTGGAAATGTTTAAACGCAAAAACTTAATAGTAGACAAAAAATGGAGCAAAAACTAGAATAAAACTGTATTCATCCTAAAGTATTCACGAAGCTCAAGCTAACAAGAATGAGATAAATATTTTTTCTCACGAAAACTCATTAAGCAATATTCACTTCAAGGAAAAGTTTATAGCTTCTTTTTCTTTTTAATTATTTTCAAACACATACAATTGTGAATGATGTAATACGTAAGATAAAGAGAGATCTCTAAATTTGGATGGCTTCATTGAATGGCGTTGCTTCGTTTTGATCGATAAAAGTGAAGGAATGACAAAACAGGCATCATTTTCCGAAAATTTTTCAAGTGAATTATGACCACTGACACCACTAGTCCTGAGGATAGAAAGATGATGCTGTTCAGTATACCCAGTGATCTTGTCAAGAAGGTCATTAGAATGTTATATACAAAAATCTTAATGCTTGAAATAATTCCAGATGAGATTATTTGTGTTTATAAAAGCAAAAATCTATGCTTGATATCATTACTTAAAGTAAAAATTCATTCAGCACTTTTGCAATACTTCACTGTATGAGTTCTGAATTTCAAAAATCAAAATCGTGTACTGATTTACTATATTTCTTCAGTCTCTAACTTTTACATCGAATGGGGCAGATTGGAATCTCACAGGACATAATAATGTCATGAGTGTGGATGTTAAATGCTGAGATAAGCTAGACAGCAGATTAACTAACGCCAGAACAATATTTATCTCTGTGTCCTGTGTGATTTTCTTAGATAATGGAGAAACCTTGGTGACCATTCCTTACATGTTAAACAGCCAGTTGACTTTGATGGTTTACTGTCATTCTTATTCCGTTGCGTTCCGAGTGAAAAATGGGACTTCTACAAAATATCTACATTTTATCCTGTTCAGTGCAACCCCTTTTACTTGGCTCCACAATTGCCTATTAGATCCCATCTCTTCCTCATTCAATTTCTTTCACGTCATCCTTAGGCATAACCGAAACTCGTCGTTTCGCATTCGTGTTCCAGTTGAGATCCAGCCTGGCGCGATGTCACTCCACAGTCTTCTCATTGTGTCTTCAATCTATCTCCATTGCCTTCAGCATATTTGTCAGTTAATAGGTTATCAGTCGGTTCCTTGACTGTCAGAGTTCCTTGTTGCCTATCCTTTCTAACCATCTGATCCTCAGTATCGAGAGAAACCAACTGTCGATTACGGTCTACAGTAGGCTGTGTGAAGTGCTTTTGGTGACTCAGAGTCGAAGTCTGTGAATCACATAGAAGAAGTGACTTGACTTAGTGTTGAGAATCCGAATCTTATTCTTGATGGTGAGTGCAGTAGATTCCTGTGCTGATCTTAGATTGATGAAAGCTTATGTTGACTTTCCGAAACTGAGCTTCTCATATCTTCATCTGTGCTCCCTATTGTTCATAACTGGTGATCAGTTAAGTCTGTGTTTTTAAACATATTTGCTTCTACATAAATCCTGCTGTGTTTTTGTTTATCCAATAAGAGATATCTTATTAGAATTTCATAAAGAAACGATTTTACGGTACAAAATGTTGTTCAGCTTATGTTTAAGACATATCATTGACAGACTGAATTATATTATGATTAATTTTAAAACTTAAGATGGTTAGTGAACTCATTTTAAAAGGGGTTGATTTCACAAGTATAAGCCGATTCAACAGTGACTGATAAAACAAGGAGCTTTATCATTTTACTTCGTCTCACATACACTTTTTACAAACATCTGAAACTGATGAAGTCAGCGTATTTCAATATTATTTACTTTTTAGAATCTGTCGCCTTAAGAAAAAAGCATTCCATGAAGCCAACAAAATAAAATATCTTGGATTAGAAATTGAATACAGTAAGTTATTTGCAATCAGTGCTTTTCTATGATTTGTTTTATTTTCCATTATTTAGTCCAATTAATTATCATTCCAATTATACTGGCTTGCTTACTCTTGCTATAAATTTTATCCGAATAGTCCAAAATGAATATATAATTTTGTATTTGCAAAAATGAAGTCACTTCAGTAATAATTGTTTTTCAATTACTGAATTACTTGGCGGAGAAAAACAAACTATAATTTAAAATAAGAGGTAGAGATCACATTTACAGTAAGAGAGCTATTGAAAACTAAGAAGTACTGGACAGACGGTTAGTTCTGGTTTACGTCTCTTTAGCAGTACACACCGGAAATCAAACATAAAACCCTCACGTTGTCAGACTTGGACGTCTTCATTCACCTGATCAAACGGAATCCAACTGAATGAATTATAAACCCTATTAATGCTCAAAATGTAGCACCACCGTCCGATCGTGTCACGGGTAAGTGCCTATCCTCAGACCTGACAATGCGGACAGCAGTACTTATGCATTCTCACACGTTTAGTCATCAAAAAGACAGTGGATCAGTTTTAAAGAGCTAATATTGTTTTTTAGATGGTTTGTCACAAAAGAACACTTTGGATGTGCTGAATTCAGTGGCCTATTCGTTCCTGCTCGTTAACAGATATTCTGAATAAGTTTGGTGCTTACACACTACAGTATTAAATCCTGTCTTTTTATTTATTTCGCTAATATTTTTGCATTTTTCAGATTGCCAAAAATTATCATATTTCATATTCACTACATAGTGAATTAATTATCAAATTTATGAATTTCCTGAGATGTTTCCCAGTAAAAGTACACTGCAAGAGCAGATTATTCCGCCCAATGAAATTCTTTGAACTGTGAAAATTTTCATTTGCCATACTATTAGATTTTACGAATCTATTTTAAGCACCTTTGTATCTAGTTGCAATCAGGCGAATATTTTAGAATATCAAGTTCATTAACAAACAACCACGAATAAAGAACCAGTATCATTTAGGGTGAGTATGAAATGAGATTAGTTAATCATTATTTAAAGAGAGATTCCTAGGAATACAATCTTTTCAAAATCTTCCTGTGAAGTAGTTTTCCATGGTTTTTCCAAAGTTCCGGTAACTTTGATTTTTTAAGACTTCCAGTACTATTATTGTCTCCTTTAGTTCCTAGAGGAACATAGGGATTCAGCCGAACGTCTCCAGTGCATATGGTTCCCCGCAATCTTTCTGACCTGGCTCCAAGTCTACCCACATGCATTCATCTCCTCTTCACATGACCTCCTCCATGTCACCGTCGCACTGACGACCAACTCGCCGCTTCCCATTCAGCTTCCACTCGAGCGATGGACTGGCGTGTGATGTCACTCACTTTATGGTTGGTTTTCTCAGAGTATGGCCAATCCACCTCCATTTCTTCCTGCTAATTTGTTTCACAATCTGTTCCTGGTTCGTTTGCTCCCACAGGTCTCTATTACTGATCTTTTCTGGTTGGCCATCTGATCTTGAGTTTTGAGCGAAGACAACTGTTAATGAAGCTCTGTAGTTTGTTTGAGATGCTCTTCATGAAGCACCAAGTCTCTGATCCATAAAGTAGCACTGACTTCACATTGGAGTTGAAAATCCAGATCTTATTTTTTCATGTTGAGTGCTGTTGTCCTCCACATAGACTTGGGAGTAATGAAAGCTTGTCTTGCTTTCCGGATCCTTGCTTTGATATCCTCGTCAGTTCCGTCCACCTATAGTTGAATCGATGCTTCCCAGGTAGGTAAACGAGGTTGTTTCTTTCAGGTTTCTCCCATTTATGCTGATCGTTGTTTGTTGTCCTTGTCCAGGAATCTTCACCATCTCTGTTTTCTCTATGTTCACCTGAAGTCCTATCCTCTCTGGATGCTTGTTCTGCCAACTTGTTGCTTATCGCTGCATATCTTCCAGTTTGTGGGAAATCAGACATATATCATCAGCCAAGTCCAGATCCTCCAAGTTTTCTGTTTGAGTCCATTTTATGCCTGTTTCCACATTGCCCGCTGTTTGTCGCATTATCCAGTCTACTGCAATCATTGGAGATAGTAGGTAGCCAGCTTATCTTACTCCTGTCTTCACTTCGAAGGATTCCGTGAGTTTCCCGTCGTGAATTACTTGGCATGCAGCACTGTCGTACAACTGTTGGGTGAGGTGTATAATTGTTGGCGATACCCCGCAGGAGCGAAGTAGTTGCCAAATCGCTTCTCGATCGACGCTGTCAAAGGACTTTACAAAGTCTATAAAGCTGAGGTAGAGAGCTGACTGCCATTCCAAGCCCTATTCAATGATGATACGTAGTGTTGCAGTTTGATCGATGCATGACTTGTTTCTCCTGAATCCAGCCTGTTCCGGTGAAAGGTTTTCATCTAGGGTGGCGTGTTTGATTTTCTCCACGATGATACGGCTTTGTATTTTGCTTGGGATGGACAGATGCCGCACCAATTCTTGCATTGACTTAAGTTCCATTTCCTTGGCAGTTTGAATAGATAGTCTTTCCTCCAATCCGCAGGTGCCTTGCCCTCGTTCCACACCTTCTTTAGTAGTGTTGTCATCAAATTCGCTGATGTCTTGGGATTCGTCTTGAATGCTTCTGCGGGGATTCCGTCTGGTCCTGCTGCTTTTCCAGATTTTATCATTTTGATGGCCTTCAGGATTTCAGCTTTCGTCGGAGGGCTGGTATTCATTAGTAGTTCTGCTTCTGCTGTGGGTATTATTGGGTGCGTTTTAGGTAGTGGTCGATTTAGAAGTCTTTTGAAGTGTTCAGCTCAGTGTTTCCTTTGCTCCACCTCTTTGGCTTCTGATAATAAGTGCTTTCTCGTGCGGAATCCAGTAGTATTGAAGTTTAAATACCTTAGCCGACTAGCCATCTAACTCATCACTATTATTTGAGTTTGATATATGTACTAAGGGTGAACATCTGACATTCAAATGCCTTTGGAAATCAAAACTAGATATCCATTTTACTATTTTCATAATAATACGTTTTTATGTTTTTATGAGAAACGTGTTAAGGCACACACAAAAGAAAGCACACTGGACAGAGTTAAACTAATTAAGCTCTGTGGAAAACATGTTACTAATGAGAACTATTTCGTCTCTTGAAATATGCACTTTCTCCAACAGATCCGGAAAGGAATAGTTTAATAGGATGGTGACTAGCAGCGGAATCTAGGATGCACATTTTGTCATAATTGGGACTCTTCATCTGGATGTGACTGTATTTCCTGGTTAGTGATGGTGTTCCCATTGAGACTGGAACCCGGTAACCATCGTTTCAAGCACCAAAGCATTATCCACTTGACCACTTGGGCCACGAGAGCTACCTCTTGTTCAACGGGTGTCAGTTATGATTTAAATCATTTTGGGTTCCTCCTCAGGTTGAATGAAAACACTTGCGGAAAAAATTGTCGAAATTTCAATCACATATCTTTTCTTTTTCAGTAAACACTTAATTTAAGCTGTTTAACGCCTATTTCGCGTTTACTGTAATGTATTTGGGTAGTGTTTTTCCGACTGAGTATTTGGTTCAATTTTCTAATGCTTTGAAAATGTACTGTAAAAATTTGGCAGCGACTAGAGTAGCTCTTATATTCATCTCATTTTACGTCAAAAAAGCAACTCTATTTGCTCTCATTTACTTTAGCACAGAACAGATTCAAAGCCTTTAGTAAACATAAACATTATATTTCTAGGCTTTATGAATATTTCTTGGTAAATAAAGAGGACTGATAAAATGAGTGTTTTAATTAATTGCGTTATCCTCAAATTTTCTCCACTTCGCAAGTTCTAAATTATTAAGATAACTAAAGAATTAGTGATATTTATCCTAGAAGAAATGAGAGCATCACTGTAAGTGTTCTCCCAAAACTACTTTCAAGTGTTGGTCTGCAGGAATTTAATAGGTTACAGGATTTGATAATGAGCTGTGATCGATTAGAGAGCCTAGAAGTAAAGTACTTTCAGGAGATTCTTTTAATTTCTTTGTCATAGAATTTGATTACCAATGTGTCTTCTAGCAAAATATGCTCTTTAAATTGTTATATTTGATAAAATTCAGTTAGTTCGACCTTCTTGCTTCTACCTGAGTGTATGTTGGACAATATGAAGCAGGAAAGACGGATACGTAATGGAGACTAACTTTTGCCTGACTTTAAAATAACTGAACGTCAAAGATAAGCAAACACTTGCACCCAAAGAATAACTGTGTATTAAATCACATAAGATTTGATAAATAAACTCAATCGATTGACTGGAGCACACTATTTTTCACCATTATAATTTCTATATCAGAAAGAAATTCTAAACGTAGGCATATAAAGATTAGAATGCTTAGAGTGAAGCTTTACAGGACATAACATTAACCAATGATGAACATGTGTCTGTATATTTGTCACTAATTTAAGACAATGCTGTTTTGTTTTCTCTCTTTCTTGACTAAAATAATCAACTTTAATCTCACACTGTTTATCCTATTTTTATATTTATTGGATGATTATGTATATATATATATTGATTGGATTCAATTTGTGTGCTATCTTATTTGTGAATATTCTCAAGAGGATGTTTTGTGTTATGCTGCAGCTGCTTGATCCGTTGTCTGTGATTTTTTTCTGTGATTCGTTTATTTTCTATAGATAAAATGAGACTACAATCATTCATTGTTCAGCAAGACATTTTTCATCTTTATCTATTGAAATGGAAGTGAAAAATCTGTAAATCATGAGAGTGGCAGTGTATGCCCTAGTCATATCAATATCATGACTGAATTTCACCATTGAAAAGTAAATATTTAGTGTAATACATATCCATTTCTACATACTTGTTTATTTCAGTAATATATATGTAGAGTCTAACGTGAACGAAATATTCCCATATTGAGTCATAAGAATTAAAACGTAAACAGCAAAGAAAATTTTCTATTCGACGATTCATTTTCATGAGCTGTACAATCGCAATTATATCTAACAAAGAAAT